TTTTAAGCACAACTGGATTCAGTAGTTTTACTTGCACAGAACTGGGAGGGGGGTTGGGGGGTTGAAACATAACTATCCCTTCATAGAGTCTATAGGATTGTTGTGTTAAATATGGCATGTGCTATTGATGATGTTGCTACTATGCTGCAATTATGCGCAACTTACCTAGAAGTTGACTCCCATTAAATGTAATGACATTTGTGAGAAGCCATGCATAAAATTGTGCTCTAAAGCTCTCATCTTTACTGTGGAATTAATCACCAATGATTAGAGAATAACAGCTTATCCCACTAAACAGGGTATTTTAGACTGTAATCCTAAATACACTTACTACAGAGTAAATTCCACTGAACCCAAGGAGAGTCTGAGTAAAGACTCCTTTCACATCTTTTTGAACAGAAGCGATAGGGATGCATGCAGTCGTTGGAGGATTCTAAGCTCTTTTCCAAAGGAACACTAAAAACATCTTTAAAAATCTTAAATAAAATGAGTATGCATGCATTTACACAACCCCAGTAAATGTTAGTATTGTTTGCTCAGACACATTCATAAGGTCTAGAAGTTCCCCTTTCCAATGAGGTGGTCGTATACTGCAGTCACAGCATTGTAACAAGAAATGGGGCAGCTTTTTCACTCACTATACCTGTTTTACTTCTGTCTGCAATGCATGCCGCAGCATGCCCCTGACTGGCAGCAGGCATACAAGAGACCATGAAAAGGAAGCTTTGTATGGTGCGATTTCTCTGTTCTCTATCACAATCCCAAAATCTGAAGCTCCCAGCATTATCTTTGCAATGAGAAAACCGCACTTCACAAGCATGGCTTCACAGTTTCACCTTGATTCTCGCCTGATTGTGAATATTGTATTTATCACTTTTTAGGGGTTGGATGGATAGATGAAGCTGTGCCTCCAAGCCGCAGGAATTTTATTTTTGGAATCCTTGAATCGCTTAAGATTTTGTTCACATCCATATGACCAGAAGTGAGGGCAAGGGATATACTGTGTTGTGTGCATTCTCTACCAAATTTTGGAATATAAAACATACTGTGCAACTCATAGTCCGCTGGAACTCTTGCAAAAGGCTGATCTCTCTAGTTGAATAGCTGGATTCTTGTACATCCTTGCCATGCTACTGGTCATCTGGAAAGAACTGCCAAAGGATATTATTTTTAGAACTGCAACACTTGAGTTAAACAGAAGTAACAGTTGGACAAAAAAAGCAGGGCAGCATTTTAATTTTCAGTCTGGATTTTAGTTACCGATTTCCTAAAATTCAGGATTACAGTGAAACTCTTAACACAGGTTTCACAAGGGGGCACGACCAGGACAAAGATTTTCAAAGTATTGTTCAATTAACACTCGAGATCTAATATTTTGATGCCCTAACTTCGCATTCATAGCATCTGCTACTTGCAGTATTAAACCTGCACAAAATTCAATCACTATCGTTTGAAACGAAAAGCATGTGGGCATGGAGTTTGCTTAGGAAAAAACGAAATTGCTGATCTCGGGGAAACAATCCTAACATTCTGAAAATGTCTTCATGGACCACAACCCACGGATGGGTGTGTTTCTTCCCATCTTAACTGACATTTTGAAAGTGTACAAGATGACTCTGCTGAATACTTTCTGCAGAAGAAATACACCCAATGGAATTTATAATTCAATACTCCTCCAAGAGGAAGAGGTGGCCTTACTGTATTTCTCAGCTTTAATGGATGTGTGCTGCATCATCTTGATAGGAGTAGCTCCGCTGAGTCCCACTTAATGATTCTTTTTAAAGAAAACTGAAGAGGCTCAATGATAGATTTTTCACAGAAGAATGTTAAACCTTGTCATCTTGTGTGTTTTCCATATTCCTTGAAAGCTTCTAAGTGTATATATTTGGTCAGTGCCCAGTTCTTAAGGGCTGGTCTCATGATAGCCTGAGCAAAAGCTGATACACCTGATTTCTGTAAACAAAAAGGAAGATGAACATTGGCTAAGACACGGGAAAGATGACGAAAGGGAGGTGCAGAAGACATGAGAACCTGCTCCAGCTGCCTCCCATCTGGACCACTGGCACCAACTCCCGCTTCTATCGTGGCTACACTAACCACTATGGCTTAAGTTACTTCTCAGTGCCAGTTGCTGGTAAGCCCGGATGGGGGGGGGATGGGGGGGATGGGGGGTGCCTTGATCCTGCCTAATCTCAGAAGCTAAGCAGGGGCGGGCCTGGTTGAAATCTGGATGGGGGACTTCCATGTTGTGAACCACCCAGAGAGCTATGGGTGTTATAGAAATGGAATGGGTGAGTGGTGGTGATGATGATGATGGTATGATGATGATGACTTGCTTGTGAACTTCCCATTACAGCTTCTGGTTGGCCAAGATGGGAACAGGAGGCTGGGCTAAAGCGATTTTGGCCTGAGCAAGTGCAATTCACCATTAGGCTCACAGGTCATCAAATAGGTCCTTTTTACAGGGCTGCTATGGTGCAGAAGCGTGTTGGACTAGAACTTGGGAAAGCGGCGTTTTGGTCCCCATTCTGCCATGAAGCAACCATGAGCCAGTCAATGACTCTCACTCTAATCTCCCTCACAGGGTTGTTGTGAGGATAAAATGGAGATGAAAAGGATTATTCCTTTTCATGGATTCCTTGCAGGGAAAAAGTGGGATGTGAATTTTATAAATTTGTTTGCTTTACATTTCTATATTGCCCAATAGCTAAACATGCCCCTTTTTTCAAAAACCTACAAAACACTGCCCATTTTTATACAGATAAATTTTCCTTTCTATTTGTTTTTTACTCGATTTCTATCCCACCTTTTCTTTTTTGAAGAACTCAAAACAGTTTGCATCATATTCCTCCTACTGTCAATGTCATCCCCACAACAACCCTGTGAGGTAGGTTGGGCTGAGGGTCTGTGACTGGCCCAAAGCCATTCAGTTGGCCCAGCGGGCTTCCCACTCCCAAGCATAACTGCCCCCTGAAGTAGGGGAGCTTCTGGAAAGCCTGTACCCTCCCGCTCCCCTCACTAACTCTAATTGTTCTGCCCTTCCTTTGAATGTATCCTTTTCACTTTTTCCGCCAAGCACGATCCCACTTCTTGACTATCCCTGCACTTCCTGGGCTACGAAGTGCCATCTTTTTTCACCCCTTCAAAACCTTCTGCAAGACATACATTTTTCCACTGGCATTAGGCTAATCCACTTAGGATGCAATCCTATGCAGGTTAGACAGAAACAGAAACAGAGAAACAGAGCGAGTCAGAAGGGGCCTCCCAGGCCTTCTAGTCTGACCCCCAGCTCCGCTCACAACATGCCCACCATGTGCACGTCCAGCCTGTCCTTGAACACCCACACCGATGGGGCTTCAACCACCTCCTGTGGAAGCCCATTCCATACCCTAGGGGTCCTAACCATCAGGAAGTACTTCCTGGCATCCAAATTGGACCTCGGTTCCCTGAGCCGTGCTCCATTGGAATGCGTCCTGCCCTCCTCCGCAGAGGAAAACAGGTCTCTATCCGTAAGGTACCCATGTATACTTGGATTTTTACTTCATTTTTTAAAAAACATTTGTATACAGCTCTTCTTATAATACGAAGGATCGTTACTCTTGGCAATTAATGACATCTTACACATAACAGACAGCCAGTGCAAATGTCCATTGCGGGATGGATGGGGAAGAGGCAGAGGCTGGGAAGCCTCTCAGAAGTGAAGGACACCTTGCCCACAATTCCGGGGTATTTCTAAAATTAAATACTACCACCTACTGGTGGAAACCAAGCATCGCATGTATGGAAAAGCAAAAGATGCGCACCTGTAATAACAAGGTATTTGTTCCAGTCTTCGGTGTGGAGGGCGACATCTCCCTCCTTATCAGTCAAGATAGGTTATGTTGTGCTTGCAACCTGGGCTTTCTAACCCTAACCCAGCTGCTAGAACTATTCCTCTTCACCGGCACAACCTGCTTATTTACCTTCCTTTCTGTACCCTGCAATGGTGGTCAAGCACAAAGCCGAGGAAAAGATTCTTTTGCCTTCTTGTTCCCAGGCAGTCAAGCCAGAAAGAATTTTCTAAGAAAGAATATTCTGCCTGTACTCTCCCAAACAGCTCTGGAAAAGCAGAACCCAGAACAGTTCAGTTTCCTTCCATTTTTAACATTACAATGCACCTAGGGACCTGGTGCTAGTGAAAAGGGCCACAATGAAATGGGTTGAACATGCCTCCCTTCACCCAATTTGACTGAAGAGCAGCAATACTTATCTGGTCATGGAAAACCCTCTCAGATGGGGCTTCAACCACCTCTCGTGGAAGCCCATTCCATACCCTTGGGGTCCTAAGTGTCAGGAAGTACTTCCTGTCATCCAAAATGAACCTTGGTTCCTTAAGCTTGACTCTGCCGGAAGGTGTCCTGCCTTCCTCTGCAGGGGAGAACAGGTCTCTACCCACCTCCGTGTGGCACCCCCTCATGTACGTATATGTCGCCAACAGATCCCCTTGGAGTCTCCTCTTCTCCAGGCTGAAGAGACCCAGTTCCCTCAGTCTCGCCTCCTACAGCTTTCCCTGCAATCCAGCCACCATCCCTGTGGCCCTGCTCTGCACTGATTCCAACCTGGCTGTATCTTTCCTGTAATGTGGAGCCCAGAACTGAACACAATCAAGGCAGGGCAGGGGAGGTAAGGAATTGTGATGCTGACCTCATTGTGACACTTTGTATGATCAGTGCCTGCTGGCTTAGCCTTCAAGCAGAGGATCAGGTGGGATGGAAACTTAAGGACAGCAGCAAGAGGAGTGAAAACGAAACCCCCACGTCTATAAAGAAGACAGAAACAGAGAAGGCAAAAAGAGAGTGGGGAAAGTGGGTGAAGAAAACACTGTTGTTCTTTTCTCTGTCCTGCCTTGCCTCACAAAATCCCTTGGAGATGGTGAATGAAGGTCCCCTAGCAAAGGCTCAGCAGCACTTCGGGTCCCTTGTGGGAAGTGACCGACCTTTCTGCTGCTCTGGGGCCTCATTATGTCAACTGTTACTACCCTGAACCGCTTCCGGGTGCGTCCAGCAGAACCACGGGACTGCCCAGAACTCCTGCGTCTCATCAAAGTAAGAGGGAAAGCAGAAGACAAGCCCACCTGACCATCCCACCATGGGCCAGCAGATGGGTGCAACATAGTTGGGTATGGGGACTGCACTATCTAAGAGTGCAAGGTGCGATGTAGTTTTGGCAACCACGGTGCACTTTCTGCTGGCACAGTTAAACTCAGTTGTGCAGCATCTTAGGCCCAGGAGCCAAATCTGACTTGCCCCAGGTTCCCATCTGTCCCTGCAGGATTCCTGAGATGGCCATGGGATTCCACCACTTCCTACTGTTTGTGGTTTCCTGGCCTTTTGTGCAGTGTGCTCCCTTATTCTGGAAGCTTGGAATGCTTCTCCCAGGCTTAGTGGCAGTAAAAGGCTTTAAGGCAGGATGTGCTTGGATGCTTGTTCTTTGTAGCCTGCTGCTCCACCCCATAATGCAGCCTTCAAGAACTTTCCAAAATGGTATTGTGGTGAAAGACACTCTGTTGATCTTATGTGCTCTCAAGTCATCTCTGACTTATGGAGACCCCATGAATTAAAACCTCCCAAAATGTCATTATCTATGACAGCTCCATTCAGCTCTTTTCAGTTCAAGGCTGTGACTTCCTTTATGGGTTCAGACATCTCATATTTATTTTATTTATAGCATTTTTATGCCGCCCCCATCGCAGAAAGCCTCAGGGAGGCTTACAAAGAAGAGTATAAAAATATTTGGCCTTTTCTTCGACCTCTGACTTTCCCTAGCAGGACTGTTGTCTCCAGTGAGTCTTGCTTTCTGAGGATGGATCCGAAGTATGACAGCCTCACTTTCACCATGTGGTCAAGGACCCACTGGTTCATCATTCTGTCAGTTCAGGGAATTCACAAACCTCTCCTCTAGCACCATATATTACCAGCCATCTAGTGCAGAGTTACCTGAAAAGACCAGGCAGAATTATTTCTCTGTTGTCCAAGTGTTTCTGCACTATTTGGTAAAGACACCTACATTCCCTTAGGCTGTATCCCTAATATAGGGGAATCTATCTTTATATCAGGAGTTGTAGAAACTTCAGTTTATATACACCAGTGAAAGGACTCTGATTGACAGCAGTGGATAGGTGATATGTGTACTTTCTCCAAAGTTCTTCCATTATTTTCGTTGCCCTCTCTTTCTTCTCTTGGAAGGAACTAGCTGCTTATGAAAACATGCCTGAAGCTGTCAAAATAACAGAAACAGGTAAGGAAGAAGTGTAGCATGTTACAATGCAGACATTTTTAATTTATTGGCCTACTGCAGTTTAAACCTCACCCCTTGCCTCAAAAGAACTTGTAGAAGCATAGGCAGTTAACTTCTGTACCCCACCCTATCCACACATACATAGGAAGCACATTGGAGACATGGAGAAGGAATTTAACCTTTCTATTCCTTGTTGCAGCCCTAGAAAAGCTGTCCTGTTTCTACAGGGAGATAATTGCCCTGTTAATTTGTGGAAGTTAACTTCCTTTTCCGTATCTCCATTAATTATCCAGGTTGTCTCAGTACTGGCTTAGAGCAACAGACTAAGTTTTGGTTCCAGGCCAGGAGAGTCCTTCTGGGAGCTGTAGGTAGTTCCTGGATCCATCCATAACAATCCAGGAACTTGTTCTATTTCTCGGAGCTGGTGTACCGGAAATATCAGTCTTAGAGGGCTCTAAATCATGGCCCATGATAAGATTCTAGGCTAGCTTTCTCTCTAACTTGCTGTCTACACGCAGTCCTTTTATATCCTCTCCACCTCTGGGTGGTGGGGGGCGGGGTCCAAATAATTTTACCAAGGGATCTTCTGCCTGCAGAGTCCTGCCTTGCATCAGTTCTGTATATGGATATTAAAATCTGCCAAATTAGCACAGTAGCCTAATACAGTTTGTGCATGTGAAAGTTACTTCTTATTGCCAAAGAGGTCTCCAACAAAATTCCATGACTGGCATTCTCCTAATATTTTTGTCCTCCTAACCCACCATGACAGAACACCCAAATCTGCCCAGAGTTTGGATTTCTCTGGATTTCTTTTGCTATCACCCCTGCTGCCCAAATTATATTACTTCAGAATACATTTTCATTTTTTTAACTTGACTACCTCAACCATTTGTAGATTGCGAATCCTACCAAAGAAGTCTTTCTCTGACCATACAACTTCTCGATAGAGAACAAACACTTTTTCAATCAACCTATCTGTGCAAGGTTAAAAACTGCTTTTTATTGTTCTTGCCTTACTTAATTGGCAGCTTGTTTCCCATTCTGCATTTGAATGGCCAGAAAAACCCCTTCAGTGGGATTAACGGCCTACAAATCTTTGTAGGGGGACAGGTGTATCTTTGCTGAATTACCAGGTTACCTGCCAAATGCCTGTAACATTTCAGATTTACTTCAAGATGGGTTTGGAGCACGTCCTTTCTTCCAGTGTTTAGTAGCAGAAGCAATAAAGGAAGATGTAATGGCAGGTAAGCTTTAAACGGGAAAACATGGTGTCATTGATTTCCGCAGCAATCATTTTCACTGCTACACTTGGGCTGTTACGTTTTAAGGGGAAAACCCCCATACACAGTAAATCCGATTGAATACATGAAAGAACAAATTATTTGTTCTTGTTTCCAAGAGGCTTAAGGGGTAAGGGCAACTTTTCAACCAATAATAGAATAGCAGAGTAGGAAAGCATCTTGAAGTCACTAGTCCCACTTACTGTCAAGTGCAGGATTTGCGGTGCTGCAGCCCTGGCTTCCCCTCCATCACATCACACCCTTTCCCCCATTTGGCGGTCCCGCCGTGCAACCAGCACTCGTTCTTCTGCACCAACAGTGAGGGGACAGAGCAGGGGCTTCACCGCCAGGGCAAGCACGGAGGGCAGACAACTCCATGTTTGGGCTCTGAGCAATCACATGGCCTCTTAGGCCATGGCAGGGTAACCCTAATTAATTCAACATTCTTGAGTTCACAGTGGCAGGCGATTTTCTTACATATCAGATTTGTTTCTTCCCAGATCCTGATATTGTAGGTTTTGCTATGTACTACTACACCTATGACCCTTGGATTGGCAGGATGTTATACTTAGAAGACTTCTATGTCATGGATGAATATAGAGGTAAAGATAAAACTGCTTGCTCACAACCTCATTTCTAATGGAAGGCACTAGAATCGAGTGGCTAAACTGTTGTCCTAATCTTGGGAAGCCCAGGTTCAAATGCTGACTCAGTGGCATAAGCCTACTTGCAGGGTGGAGGAAGATGTGACGCCTCTTTCTCCACCTCTCCAGCATAGCCAATGGTGAGGGATGATGGAAATTGCAGTTCCAAAGCATGGGGGAAGAGCACACAGGTTCCATTCATGCCAGGCCTCCTGTTTTCCATCCCTAAAAGAAAAAGGATGTACAGCTGGGGGGGGGGGGGGGGGGGATATCATGCACACTCCTCAGAGCCCTTGGGAAGAAGGGTGGCGTAGCTATATGAACATTTTGCCAGTTAACTATTCATTCATATTTTTTGAATGTATACACTTAGGTAACTTGTATATTCAACTGTGTTTTGGCAGGCTGGGGCATTGGATCGGAACTCTTAAAAAGATTAAGCCAGGCAAGTTATTGTTGGAATATATGTGTATATATATATTCAATGGAAAAGTCATTCTGTACCCCCATATGCATGAGTACAATTCTTTAAAGGCAGCTGGCAGAAGAATAACCCTAAAAGCACTTTTTCAAATCTGCTCAGAGAAGCAGAAGGAAGGGCTGGGAAGGCTCCATGGTCAGTAGTTAGAATGCTGCTCCCGTTCACATAAGCCAGAGTAGTTGGAGGGTTGGACAGGCCCTCGCGAGACTTGAGAACCTGTGGGCTAGGTTAGGCTGAGAGTCTGTGACTGGCCCAAAGTCACCTAGCTGGCTCCATGCCCAGACGAGGACTAGAACCCAGGCTGCCCAAGTCCTGGTTTTGTGCTCTTAACTATGCTGGCTCAACTTTTATGCTGAGGCCTTTAAAGAGATACTTGGGTTAACCAGAGGACTGAGGGGTTACCCATCCTAGGTGTTTCACAGAGTCATTCTTCATCGTTGTTTTTAGCTGTTTTAAACTGTTTAATAGTGCTCTGATTTTGATACTTTTACTGTATTTCATTACTTTGTTTGAGGAACTGTTTCAATCCATCCAGAGATCTTCAGCTAGGGGATGGAATAGAAATGAAACAAATAATATTTGCATTGCTATCTAGTGTCCTTGGTACTAGATCTTTTGATACAAATAAACCAATCTGACTTGCTAATCTAGACGCTTAAAAATAAATTGCTTTGGCACAGATACAAGGTACAGCAGCCTTCTTTCACTAGCTCCAGGAATCATTGTCACTAGTACAAAAGTTCATTTTCAAATTATTCGCACTTTTCCTCTCCCCACCTGCCACGGGAACCTGAACCCCCAACACTGTTATCTCTCTTGGCTTTTCACAGATCGCCATCGATGCCAAATGTAACTGCATGCATTTTCTGGTGGTTGTTTGGAACCAGCCGTCCATCGAGTACTACATGAGACGAGGTGCTTCAGACCTTTCTACCGAAGAGGGCTGGCACCTCTTCCGCTTCGACAAAGAACATCTCGTCAAGATGGCTTCGGGAGAGTAAAAGCAAGATTTGACACCTGAGTGTCTGCCCCAGCCTGGAGTGCAGTCAAACTCACCAGGTCAGCAAAACTACCTCAACACAGGGCAGCAGTGGCGACAGGGATTAAAAGTGCTTTGCTTGTTTTGCAACAGGAATTCAATCGATACGATGCTGCCATTATTATTCAGCCTGCTATTCTTTAACTTTTCTTTTTGCTAACATGTCACACCTTTAAGTGCCATCCAGATTTCAAGTTCAAGCACCCATGTATATACATCAAGAGCACAGAACCTTCAACTGAAGGCCCAAGCCATGTTTACTCAGTTTCCCCAGATGCCCTTGGTTCTTTTTCTCAACCACCAAGGGGTGGTTTCTCTGCTGTTGCAACCCTAATCCCAGAAAGTTTAAAGGCTTCTCCAAAAGCTTAGTTACTGACAGTGAGGTTTCATGCTGAAATATGCGGTTACGTTTGCCCATCCTTGGCTCCGCCCCATGTACATTCGGCGCTACCTGCCCCTGGAACGGAGCTCCAAAGAGCATCTCCCAAACTGAACTCATCCTTCAGACCAAAACAGGTTCAGCAACCCTGTTGTAAATGGTGGAGGGAGGGAACGGGGGAACTATTTCCTTGCAGCAAAACATGCCGGCATGTTAGTTCTGCCCCCTTTGCATTTGCCTTCACTCCTTTTCCCGTCCACTACGAAAATGTGGCCTATGAAGAGCTTCTCCAAAATAGATTTTGGCCCTTGTGCCAGGGCAAGTTAAGCACCTTGTATAACACTACAATTATGCACCGAACCACAAGCATTTTGGGAACGTGATTTAAAATAAATCTTTAGTTTATATTTTATATATTTTGTAACACATCCTTTGTCAATATACTATGTCATCAATGTCCTCCCTCGCAATTTTTTAAGTGCTAGTTATATTTTAAAAGCCGTTTTATTAACTGGACGTTTTGGTGAACAGCTTCTTCCATTTCAAAAATTAATATAAAGAAAATAAAGAATATTTACATACTTTTTAAAGTATTCTTTCATCAGCTGAGCAGAAGCAGTACAGAAAACACTTTACCAAGTGATTCCCATTTATTACTTGCTTGACAACAACACTCTCATCTGAAGTCCTTTGCGCGCCTTATCAAGTTATACTTCCCAAAATAACTGTAAAATATTTTTCTATTTCCAGTAGAAAAAGGATACAGTGGGAATGATTAAATTGGCTGTACAGGACGGATTGAGAAAATGCTCAATCCAAGACTGGCACATAGAGTAGAATTACAAGTTGCATAATGCTTCCATTTTAATGTCCCATCATATTTTAAAGACTGGAGAGTTTGGCATATTAACTTCTGGTACTGTACATATCCACATCTTCCGGGCTGGACTGGCCATGGTCCATGAGGATGGGGTCTGGCTTAAATTTCGAAGTCTTCAATGCATCTGTTAAATAAATGGCACTGTTATGGTCTCTGTGTTTGGAATTGCCTGGTTAGGGCTGGCACCAGGGCCTGGCATTCTTGGGCAGCTGCTAGGGCTTGAGGCCCTTGGCAAGGCCCACAAGTGATACCTGACCCACCACTATTAATTATTTTCTCCTGGCCTGGCACCCAAGCAGTTCCCAGTTGCTGGGACTAGCTCCATTCTGAGTCTGACGCAGTGCCCTGCTTGGGCAACGAGGGAGATTAGGTTCAACTGTTAATGGCCACTTTGCCCAGGGCTTTCATACCCGGAAGTAGCCCTGAGTCGTGATAATCAGGAAGGGATCTGGTTAATGAAAACTGAACTGTGTCTACGACGTGAATGGCAGGGAGGACAATCTGAATGTTCTACCTGTTCTAACACTTGGCACCTTCACTTCAGCTGTTGATGGCACAGAATCTGTCTTCTCTGCATGAAACTGCATCTTGGATGCTTTTGCCTCTTCCTTTGATTCACCAGCAGTCTTGCAAGCTTCTGAGGTGCGATGCCCTGTTTCTGAGACTGGTCCTGGAACTTCCTGCAGATGAATGTAACCAAATTGTAAAGAAGCACAAAAGTGCAGTTTATGGTGATATTCAGTTTTGCATGTAACTTCCTTCCCCCATATTCTGATTGGAACACCACATCAGAAAATGAGTGTGAATATTGAAGCGTAACTGTGTTTTGGTGTGCATATGGATTCAAGAAGTGTAAATTAAGAATGTCTGCATTAAAATGTGAACCAAATGTTATTTCTCCCCCGTCCCTCAAGAAAGTGCCATGTGCACCGATGGAAATATATTACTAAACAGTAAGAAACAAGATATCTTTGAAGGTGGGCAGTGTTATCTTTCCCTCCCCGAACCCATCTAATATATCAAATATATTGCTAAAGTGAAAACCTCTTAAGCCCCTGAATCTCACAATGTGCAATAAAGTGATGTTGGGGTTCCACAACTTTTTATCATTTTGGCACGTGTATGTTAAGCACAGCGTAAGTCAACCGAAGCTGCCTGCACTTGGGATGCCCAATGCTGCTTCCTTGGAGAGCGCCTACCTGAGCATTTTTATCCTGGGTGAGTGGTTCTTTCACACCGGGGCTTTTCGTCCACAGCGATCCTATTGCTTCATAGGTTTTATGGCTTGCAGCATATATCTTTCCAACTGTTACCTAGTTTAATTTTAGAGATGTTATTATACTGAACAAATAGTTAAAAACAATCTAGGGCAGGCAAGGCTAATTGACTTCTCCAATGAAATTGTGTGGTTCAGCCAACACTAGAAGCAGCAGCTTGTATGGCAACCTCCTTTAGAGGTTTTACCTAGGGAGGTTGATGGCTCTCCCACAATAGAGGCATTCAGGACAGCCATCTGAGAGGGATGGTTTGACTTGGTGTCCTGCACGGAGCAAGAGAGTGGACACGATGACCTTCCTGGAGCCTTCCAACTCTACTAAGAGCCAGATCTTAAACTTTGAGTAACTAGGAGCAAGACTCCTAAGGCAAAGCAAGAAACTCCGAAGCACTACAAAATGCACAAGAGCTTACCTTTGTAAACAGTACTGACGGCACTGGATAGCAAAGTGATATGCTGAGGGTGCAAAGCCCCAAGGGATAAGCGATTTTCTTAAATCGAGACCCTGAAAAGAACAAAACAAAATCACTAAAGCAATCCTGAGCATAAAGTCGCAATCTCTTTGGAAGGATAAGCCACAAAGTTCTCCCATGCCTGTTTTCTGTGATTAAAAGTAGTTTTGCATGGAAAGTGTTCAAATCCGATGAGCCACATAAAGCCTGAGACGGTCCAGCATATGCGCCGCTTTGAAGAACAGCTGTGGTTAAGCAGCAGGCCACGTATTTTGCAGGCAGATGGTCTCAGGGTCAATCTTTGCTACCTCCAGGTAGGGCGGGAAAAATACGGGAACCCTGGAGGTCCACAGCTGGTCACTGCGGCTGTAGGGATTCTGCTGGTGCACTGCTCAAGAGACTCCCTATCTGAGCAGGCAGAGGGGATCTTGGCTGAGATCCTCCAGGCTATTAGTTACGGGAGACGTCCACATCCGTTCTGCGGGCACTGCTTATGCAGCATCTCAGAATTGCATGGGCTCCATGACAACCTCGGGACCATCCCAACAGAGGTACACTCGGATTTGTTTTGTTTTGACTTGGCATGGGAAAGATGATCTGATGGCGAGGACTTGGAATCGGTCCCTTTGGCCTGATGAGACGTAGGGTACTGGTGGCTTTTCCCCTCTGCGAGGGTGCGGGGCATATTAGGATGGTTCACCCTGCAGGCTAACAGCATGGGTGGTTTCCAAAGGGCTGTTAAGGGACTTTTCTGCTGCATCCTGGCTGATCTCTGGAGCAGAGAAGGGTGCTGGGTGGCTGCCAGGATTGCTCCTGAACAGCCATCTCAGTAGTAGAGCTCATCCACTATGCACGGTAAGCCCCAGAGCTGAGAGCAATGAAACAAGACAGGAGATGGTCTGAGCACAGATGGAGGAAACTCCTGGGTAGATGCAACTGAGCACTGGTATGGGCCTATAAATCAGGTATATTTAGGGGCATTGAGGGCAGCAAAAAACCCAATGTCTCATCGCATCTGTTCAATCTTCTCCCTAGCAAGGCTTTTCAGGGTCATCCAGGGCAGATTAGATAATGGTCCCAAGGACTTCTTTACCTGTCTAGCCTGCTGTAGAGCATTTGCTAGACACTTCCAGGGCGAACTCTATTGTCTATCATGACTTAGATTCCAGTTTTATGGCAGTTGCATCAAGAGAAGTATATCCAGCACACAGCCTGTTCCACTTTAATGGATGCATTTCAGCTTAAGGAGGTTGACAAGGTGCTTGGAAAGGTCTGTATTGGGTCCTTACCCCCTCTTGGCTTATAAAAGCTGGCAGGGAAGAAACATCCAGCTCGGCCAGGGAAGTAATGGCTCTTACGAAAGGGAGCGGTCCCATTCCACTTAAAGCGTGGTGGTGAGGCCATTCCTAAAAAAGCCCTCCCTGGACTGGAATGGCTTTTGCGACCCTGGACCAGTGGCCAAAGTAGTGGCCAACCAGCTCCAGGCACTCTTGAATAAGACTGACTTTCTGGTTCCATTTGGGATTGTGCCCTGTGCTATTTAACTGCTACAGGAAACTGCTGAATGGAGTCATCCAGAATTCTGGGCTGTGTTGCCACCAGGTACGCTGCTGACACACGGCTCTATTTCACTTGTCATCTTCTGAAGGTGAGGTTGCTGATGTGCTAAACTGATACCTAGCTCTGACAATGGGCTGGAGGATGGCTAGCAAACTGAAGCCCAGCCCAGCAAGGACCGAGATGCTGCTGGTGAGTGGTTCCTCCAGTCAGATGGAGGGTGCTCCACCTGTTCTGGGCTGGGTTGCAGTCCCCTTGATGGAGCAGCTTCGTAGCTGGTGGATCCTGCTGGAGCCGTCTTTGTCATTTGAGGCTCCATGGCCTCAATGCAGTGAACGTTAGTAGGCATGTCATGAGTGGAGCTGGCTGGAGCGGTGTGGTGACCAGATGGCCCGGGAGGCCCCTTCCGACTTCCTCTGTTTCTATGTTTCTATGAAGTAGCCCAGCTACATCCTTACCAGTTTAACATAGAGAAGAAACTTGCATCTAGAACTGTCATCTGGAAAGTTGCTTTTTTTCTTTTTCTTTTTTAACAAAGTAACATTTTCAATACACTGTAGCCTGTGAAGGCAAACTCCTTACCTTGTCTTGATAGCACTAGTCCAGTCAGTCCTGAAATTGTAATTACACCAACTTTGGGAAGAAATTCTGGAGGAGGATTCTTCAGATAAGCATACACATCTTAAAAGATAAACAACAATTACCATACTTGAATATGGTTTTCTAATTCCTTAGAACAGCACAGAGAAATGAAACATAGCTAAATGCAAACATTGCAAATGGGGCAATCTATTTTGAAGAGAAACCAAGGTATTGCCTCACCTCATTTTAACCAAGCTTGCAATTTACATGGCCAAATGTGAACAGAGAAGTTAGGTTTAGAGAAGTTACAAATACTCACCCACCTTTTCCAAACAGTATAGAAGACATGATTCCATTTTTGACAAAGAGACAAGCATTCTGCATAAAAATAAACAACAGTCACATTTCTCCATCTAATACTTAAGTAAATGTAGTTAGAAAGTCACATTTTTACCTACAAATATCAGATTACCTGGACAAAGCAGGAGAAACCACCCTTAGATCACTTTCCATTTTATTTTTAAGCTCTTCAGTTTGTGGGGGGGAGTGCAGAGCAAGAGGAAAGCAAGTGCTGATGCCAATGCACTTTGCTCTCCTCATCACCTGATGGACAGGTAATGATGGCTGGATTGTCATACATATCACCTCTTAGGAAATGGAGAGGAGACTCATGCCGTGCTGCTCCTTTCCCAGATGTGGGGCTAATTTTTATGATGCGTGCAAGAAAAGCTAACATCCTGCAAATGCTGCAAATGGCATCTAACTACCTCTAAGCCTTCCTAACGGGGATGGTGGGAGTCCGAAGTCCATCCCATCAGGGAGCCACCAGGCTGGCAAAGCCTGGAAAGAGTTGCTGCTCTTTTCATAAGGTAAAAATGTTTAGCTGGGGGCGGGGAGGGGGGGGCGTCTACATCAGCTCACAGCATGTTATATTTACATGATACGTTTATGTCAAGTGAGCCCTCCTACCTCCTCCTGATTGAATAATGGCTATGACTTAAAAAGCAATTTTATGAGGCACATCCAAGGTTTTGCATCGTCCCAAGGAAATTCCAGACACCTTTCCTTCGAACAACAGGCTCTCCGTGCCATTGCCTGAGATGCTTATGAAAGTTTTGCGTGGGTCTTGCCATACCTATGCGGAGGCACAGGACTTTTTGAGGAGTATACAACCAAATTCACTTGGGTATGCAAAACCATAGGACCCAGTCCAGAAATAACAAGATAATGTAGCCTTTCTACACCATATAGTCTAACATTTTTTTATGTGCATTGTATATTAATGCTGTCATGTCATCAACTATCTTGGAAGTCTGTTCCAAACATAATATAAATTTGGTAATTAAACAAATACAGAAACATCTCCTTCTGCTTCCACCACAGCTACTGACAAGGACTTAACAAGAAATTGTAATTCCATTGTACCAGTTTTACTCTTACCTGCTACAATGTAAGTCACATTTACATGGTGTTTTGCTTAGAGTTTTAATGTATCACATTTTCTAGCAACACCAGAAAATGTCAATGTTTTAGGCATCAACATCAAACAGTAAACCTTTACTTTTTAAATATTACACTTATATAAGGTAACATTATATATAAGGTTATTAACCATTCCTCAGCTAAAGTGCTGAAGAGTTTACTAAAACAAACAAGCAAAAACAATTCAACAGCTATATGGCAAATCAAGAACTGTATACAAATGATTGAAATGATGTATATATTCATCCTATGCATTTCATAACTATTCATTTCAGTTTATATTGCAGACTTTCTGTGAACAAAAATACTAGCACACATATTTGGAACTTACACCACAAGAGGTCACTAATCTCCCAGCTTAAGGAATACAACAAAATTTGAGGAGAGATTCGCAAAACATATCAAGCATATAAAAGCATATCAAGGCTTGAGGGAGACACAGAACTCAAATCCTAAAAGATAATAATTGTTCATTTTTGCTCCTAATTTTCCCACCACTACCATGAGAACAAAAGCAAAAAGACTTTTGCAAAGATGTTTTGAATGCAAACAAATTCTTTGGTGAACACTGGGTCTTCATGGCCCATAGGATTCTCCTTTAAAAAAAATATCTCTCTCTATTTTAAATTATTCATCAAAGAATTACTCCGATTTTGAAATGTACTGGGAAACTTGTACTACTCATATATACCAAGAGGAATCTTTGCTGTTTCATATCAGCCCCAGTGTTCCAGGGCATTCACTCATGGTGAAACATGTACAAGAATTCCTGGCCCATTAAGTTAACTCATATTCTTACCTTGCACGTATTAATATAGTAACTTGCGGTCATTCTTACTGAAGATATCCCAGTTTGCAACCGGCCAGGCTTTTCATCAACGTATCTTGAGTCCAGAGGTGGTGCATTATAAATTGGAAGCTGGAGGAGAAGGGGAAATGCAAGTGCTACATCAGTCTCACTAGACTTGTGCAAATATAGGAAAGTCATCCCTGTATTTATGCATGTGCCTTTTTGGTTAATTTTTAAAAGATCGAGAAGGCCTTTCAAATCGTACCTGATGTGCTTTAACACGATGGGATTTTGCTTCCTCCTCAGATGCAGCGTATACATTAATAGATGCAAATGCCAAAGCTGTAGGAAGAGCAGTCCATTTTACCATCTGGCAGGAAAGCAGAGGCCAAGGGAAATCAAGAAGGAAAATTAATTGCTGAATAGGAAAAAAATCTGTTTGTCAAATTTATATTGTTCAACAAAAATAGCTGCATTCACACATTGTTTTAAACCAAAATTCTGGCTTAATAAACCATGATGTGAAGAAGCAGTATTGACTCCTGCTTCATTCCTTCCTTTGAAAGCAGGTAAATGAACTTGGAAGACAGAGCTATTGAAATTCAGAATCATGCTTAAATGCACTGAAACAAGCCAGGATTCATAAACCAGGAAAAATGCTTATAACCCTGCCTCATTTGTACGTACTTACATGACAATCCAAGGTTCAGATGCCATGCAAGGCTCTCCCTTCCTGATATGCTTGCTTAATCTTACAAAGGGTGAAGTGAACACTCTGTGTGCATTAACAGCATCACCACATCATGTTTTTTAAAGCCAGAATACCTGACTTATAACCACATGCAAATGTGGACTTCTTACTTGTTAAGTCCACAGTGCAGTGGTGGCAATTTGTGGTGCTCCAGAACTTGGCCTACCATGTCCATCAGTCCTAACTATCATAGCCAATGATGAGAGACAATGGAAGTTGGACACCAAAAAGCTGGAGTGATACATGCGGCACCACGTGTTTTAGGCATAATGAACACCTATTCTTCAAGAACCAACGGCAAAAGTACATGCACATGGAATGACGTTTCAACAAACCGACCTCTTCTTGGAGGGGGGAGGAAGCAGCTTTCACAATGAAAGAGGTTCAGAATTACAAACACCGAAACGGTTAACACTATGCTAAGCATATTTAGGTGCTAGGGAAGTTTCTTATTGTAATTTCTGTAGCATTTACTTCCCTTGCCTGTAGCTTGAAAATATATAGTTCAGGACTGTTACTCATGAAGTGGACCTAAGCTCTGATACAGTACTCCACCGGTTTTTGTTTGTAAAGCTATCTGGGTGATGATGAGATAAAATGTAAATCTCTGTCTATGGTCTTACAATAAAAACAGCATTTATTACTTTAAATGTATCTATTGAGACAAAGATCTGATTTGCAAAAAATATTAAGCCATGGTGTAATTCAAAGAAATCTGGCTTGCTCTGGTGTCAAAATACTTCCTGTAAACCATTGTTTATTAACCAGCTACAAAACACGAACAGAAGGCATGGTTTGTTGTTGGCTTACACAGTTCAGCTTTGTAAAATTATGGATAGTTGTAAACTGTGCTGGATCAGGCCAGAGGCCTATCTAATCCAATGTTCTGTACTCACATTAGCCAACCAGATGCCCATGGGCAGCCCACAAGTGGGAAATTTGCAATCTCTCGTATGTGTTCACCAGTGTCTGGCACTGGGAGGTGTCAATATTTGATGTACTATATATCCGTCACAACTAGACTATCTTCCATTAATTTCTCTAATTCTCTTTTAAAACTATCCAAGTTAGCATCCACCACTCTGTTTTGTGACAAAAGAATTTCATGGATTTAACTATGTGCTGTTTACCATCTTGCCTCCAGTTTTACAGTAAAGAGCCACCATACCTGTACACAAGGTATCCTGCACTTTTATTTATTTTATTTTATTTAGAAAATTTTACTGCAGGAAATGCCTGACAGTCCTTACCATGGCCTTGTAAGTGGAGGAAGTTGTGTTATTCCTGTGGGGAGCGTTTTACAATTTTCTTTATTCATTAAAATATTTTAAAGACTGCTGCACCACACAAATATTAAAATAATTTAAACAATAACAAAGATTAAAAAGAAGAGTGTTGACCTCCCCCAAATTAAAGCGAACTGTTAATCCTGTCAAATCAGCAAACATTGAGTGCAACAGCAATGCCTTTATCTCTAGGTGAAAGCTCAGCAATTAAGGGCTAATCTAAGGTAGACTCCTACAGTTTCCAACATCATCTTTGCAGTGTCAGCTCGAAGTCCCTGTGATTTCAGAGCTGAGACTCCACGGGCTGAGCAGCCTCTTTGTCAGCATGGAAATCACAGAATCCCTAGTCTCTTTAGGGACGGAATTGCCCAACTGGGGTGCTAACACAGAAAAGGCCCTCTTTTACCTTTCCAGCAATGTTATCTTTCTCAGTGGTGGGGCATATAACAAGTCTCAGATGAGTATCACATGGGCAGGTTCATATGGGGGTAGGCTCTCTTTCAGATATCTCGGCCCCAAGCTGATGCAAGCAAACAGTTCTGAACTGAGCCCAACTGGAAGTGACCTGAATGGATGGAAATATGGTTCATAATTTTTTGCTTATATCTATATTTATTTATACACATTTATTTATAGCACTCATCAGACAGCAGGCTGCCTGCAGCATTTTGCACTCCCTGCAGCTCCTGGCCACTCAGGAGCAGTCCCATGAGGAGCGTGCTTCGACAGTCCGGCTGGGAAATTAAGTCATGCACAGAGTGTCTTTGTCATGCTGCATTAGTTGCATTCTACCCCAAGAAGCTCCTGTGCCGAAAACTGGCTGCTTACACTGTTTCTAAAGGAATTCTGAACTGCAAGGCAAGTCATCCCGTATAATGGTTAGATGAGATACACAACCTGGCCCACCACATTCAAGTTCAGCCTCCGGTTCACCATTCCACAATAGTACTATCTGGGCTTCCTTTGCATCCTGAGACCATAAGAGCCACGAAGGGTCCAGCTAGCTCAGCATCTGGCCACACGGTGTCAAGGGGCAGCCTGCTCACTGAAGGCCCCTTTAGTCCTGCAGTAACATTGCCTTCTGTGCCTGACTAAGCACCTATGCAATTTCCAGAACACATTTCACTTAAAAGACCGAATATGGAGCTGCCTGGCATCAAACTCTAGATTCTGTGTGCAATAGTGGGGGGAAATTAGAGCTAATTTTTGTTCTGAGGGTACTGGCTTAACTACTTTATGGGTTGAGGTCTCCTACCAACCCAATCTATTTCTGGCTCATTTTTCCTACATACCAATCCTAAAGCACTACCCAACTTAGTGATTAGGTCTGTAAAACTTGATAACCCACATTCATGGCTTCGGTGAGGAAATGAGAGTTGCCCTGAGCCCATTAGAGGCTCTGCAGCTGAAATGTGGATTATGTTGTTGTCTGAACCTGGCTGTGCTACAAGCTATGGCTTGTTAACCAAAAACAAACCATCATTTGTTGTTAGTCTGTGAACCGTGCATTGTTCACCATGGTTTGTTAGGTTCAGAAAACATAACCCATTCCGAGGGCACCCCACCATTCAATGACAGCCCACAATCAACCCTTGTATGTAGATTATCATGTTGCCTGTGCCCAGTGAGAATCAAATTAGCTACACCAAAGCATGAAAAGCAATAAAGCAAACTAATTCACTGCTTTGACAGAACAAAGACAAAGGGCGGCACATGAAAGGGAGGTGGAAAAAAAAAGGCAGAAGTTACTAATGTGAAGGAGCAAGGAAGAAACTGGATACAGTGGTATGCAAGGACTGTCAGTCCTGTAGCACCTTTTAAAAGAAAACAGGCAGAACTGGGGAGAGGAGGAAGGGAACATAGTTTCCATTTTCTCCAGAGCTACCATGTAATTAAGTCTCACACTTTGAACTTATAAAAGGAAACAAGCAAAAGCTTAGGGAGAATATTAGGAAGAGCACAGCAGCGTGGAGTGATGTACTCATAGGAAGGCACACGAGTGGAAAATGGGATCTGTGGGCAGACGACACCATCCTATGTGATTTATGGATGCCTGAAAAGCAGGGGGAGCTGCAGGCCTTTTTTCCTGTCTGAACGTGCATAGGTTCCTCCAACCTTTTGGAATGGGAGGAGGCCCTACGGAGAATCCCAAAGGTCTGGATTTGACCCCTGGGCTTGGAATTCCGCGTGGCTCTCCGAGGGATGCTTCACACACATTACTAGTTTGCTACAAGTCTGTGCGAAAAAGAGGGCTACGAAGAGGGTTACGCCCCTGTGCACCGTCACGTCAAAATTGCTCAAGCATCTATTTTGCCACCTGCAAACATGTTTGGAAACTGCCGCGCTGAGCACGCAGGCTGTGTGGGAAGATGTTTTATTTGTTCGATGAAGCTATATTTATTTTCACACACACATTGCAGAATATTTACAGGACTAAGAGCTGTGTGGTGACTTCTGGAATTAGCTCAGTTCTTGAGTGGCACTAATTGCTTTGCTTTGGGATGCCTACTGAAGTCAACTGTGTAAAGTCTAGCAAAATGCTTCTGTATATCACTTCACTGCCCAGTAATTATTTCAAGCAATTACTCAAAAAAAGAAAAAAAAAGGAAAAGGATTTATTCAGGGGAAAAATTCTATTAAATTCCAGGGCTCAGTCAGAACCTGCCTGACAAAACGATGTTGTTTTTGCTGCATTTGGAGAAACTCAAAGAGGAATTTAACATTTTATTACAATTTTCTTCCTTCCCTCTAAACTAGGGATCCTCAGTGCAGGGCCTACAGGTCCCAGTGTGCTCACAAAAGCCAGAGTGAGGTGCCAACTGAGTGATTTCTCCTCCCTGCAAGTGACTGGAGCAATTCCTCCATCCACTTGCATGAAAAGAAAGCCAGCCTTGCCAAAAGTGATGGAAAAGCAGCACTGAAGTCCACCTGTACTCTACAAAGAATCCCTAGCGGAGATGACCTACTTAAGTGGGGCAGATCCTCATGCAAGAGAATGGAAGGATTGTTCTAGACATGGGAAGAAAGAAAGCAGGAAATAGGAAACTGAGAAAAGCAGAAAGAGAAGAGTGGGCAAGCAAGCGAGCAAGATGTGGTAGTGCTGGTGGTGGGAAATCAAAGAGGAGGGGAGGGGGAAGAACGAACCCAGTGAGGACTGAGAATGCTGTGCGGACACAGAATATTGACTGACTGTTGAGATGGAGGGGAGGGGAAGACCAAGGCAACACTTTGTTGTAGCTTCTCCTAAAAATAAGGCCGTAAGATTAACCGCAGGATCAGCCTAAAGACCTACCAGGCTCAGCCTGATGTTCCCAGATGCTGGGGGAAGCTCACGAGCAGGATATGAGGGCAACATGATCTTCCCACATGTGCTCCATAGCAACTGGCACATGGACGTGCATGGATTTATATGTTTTATTTATATGTTGCCTTTTTTCCCTCAAGGGACTCAAGGTGGGTTACATAATTCTCCACTTCCTCTTAATCTTATCCCCACAACAACAACCCTGTGAAGTAGGTTGGGCTGAGAGTCTGTGACTGGCTCAAAATCACCCAGTTAACCCCATGGCTGAGTAATGACTAGAACCCAGATCTCCCGAGTCCCAGTCCCGTATTCAGAATAACAGGGTTAAATTGCAGGAACCTAGATTTCAGTTAGACACCAGGAAAAACTTCCTCAGAGCAATATGACAGTGGAACCTATCACACCTGGGGAGGTTGTGGGCTCTCCCATACTAGGCACTCAAGAAGCAATTTAAGTCATCTAAATGTGATGGTGTCACTAAATGCTTTGGCAAGGGGCGGCATAGAAATGTTCTAATAATAGTAAATAATAATAAATGTCTTGCACCATCAGGGGTTGGGTCCAGTGGCATTCTTGGCCCCTTCTCTGATTCTATGCAGGTATAATTCTCAATGTGTTCCTGGTCGGCAAGAAAACAAAGCTGAGACTCGCTTATTTTGGCCATATCATGTGATCAAGCTCATTAGAAAAAGATAGAATGCTTGGAATGCTCAGTGGCAAGAGAAAACCAGGTCACCAAAGAGCGAGGTGGTTAGACTCCATCAAAAAGGATGCAGCCAGAGCATAGCTCAGCTGAAAGAGGTGGCACGGAATCGGAAAGTGTGGTGAGATTTGGGCCATGGGATCTCTTATAGTCAGACATGACTGAACAGCTAAACAACTACATAGTTCTCAAGGCACATTAGCTTTAGTGTAGATGCAGCCTATGCAAATGGGGGCTCTAAAGGTTGCGACAGTAAGGATAAAAGGGGCACAGTCCCTTGGGGCAAAAAGGAACCGGTCTAGAGAAATGCCATTCCCCAAAGAGTCTACTGTCCCATGGATATCAGGGATGCAGCTGGAAGGAGGGCAGCGGAGTGTGGCTACTCAGGGACTTGGCTGGATCCTGCAGTCTCCGCATCCGTCTTCACCCTCACGGCTGCCTCCAAATTCTAACACCGTTAAGAATCTGTACAACCTTGAAATTTCCCCATTATTCTTGAAGAGGAGTGGAATGGCACAAGATGTGTGCTCTTCCACATGCTCTGGAACCCTCCCATCTGCGCGACCACTCGGGTTCAAGGCAGGTGCACAGGAAACCTAAAAAGTTCATGATCAGATGGAGTGCAAGAGGAAGAAGAGAGTTGTGTAGCACAAAGCTATACAGATTCAGTTCATTGTGTTCAGTTAGACTTCCTGCCTAGTGAGTGTGCGCAGGATTGCAACCTCATGGGCAAAGGAGGGGCACTTGTGCAAGCTACGTGCCCTCCGGTCTGTAGGGCCTCTCCCTTTAAAGCAAACACATGACTCTGTAACGTCCACATTCATTCATTCAGCGGAGGCAGCAGTGTGCCCGCCCGTGCAGGGATGCAACACGAGGCTACTCAGCGGCGCAGCCAGGGCCTCTCGGCACATGCTCAGGCGCCCAGCTCCACTCTTCACAGCTCTTCCTTAAAGTCACATTCTCATTTCCGCCATGAGGATTGGGGCAGGAGGAAGGGAAGGGAGAAAGGGATCAGAGTTATCACGTTCAAATTTCCACCCTGATTATTAGAGGAGAAGACGGGGGGTGGGTGCAGAAAAGAAGCAAAACTGGGTTACTGAGCAGCGCAAGGGGGACCTCTGCACATGGTCAGGGGCCCACCTCCATCCTACACAGCAGCTCCTTAAATTAAAAAAGCGTAAAAAGTCCGGCGTCGCGTCCAGATGTCCACACTGAGGACAAACAGAATTGGGCTCCTAGGAGGCGCCAAAGGAGGAACTCTGCACACGCTCAAGAGCCCGCCATCCAAAGGGACACTCCTAAAGTTCCGAGCAGCACAAGGCTGCCCTCGTTCAGGTTGCCGGCTTAGCTTTCGCCCTGAGAGCCGGGAAGGAAACGGCTCCCTCCCGCAGGAGCGGCGGAACCGAGAGATGACAGCAAGCGAGCCACTCACCTTGGCCGCCATTTTGGCTCCTCCTCCTCCTCCGCTAGGGAAGCAACCACGCCTGCGCGAGAGGTCACCGAGGGGGCGTGGCGCTGCGGGGAAGCCCGTCGCGGGTTGGTGGAGACGAGCGATGACGTAGAGGAGGCCTCCCCTCCCTTTCGCCCTCTCTCCCTCCCGACGCTCCCCGTGGTATGTGGGCGAGCTGCTCCCGTGCCCTCTGAGCGTTCGCCCTGTGGACGGGGGATGATGGGATCTGTTGTCCAAAGCATCTGGAGAGCGCTAACCAGGGAAGTGGGCGTCCTTGCGGCCCCTATGTCTTCCCCAAGGTGCACTCCCATCATCCGCAGCCGACAGAGCCGGCGGGGATGCTGGATGGGTATTGTTCTTAAGCCTTGCTGGTCCCTAAGACCAGAAATCGGAATTCCACTGCCAGTATTAGGACACACCAAGCAACGGTGGGCTAAACAAAGGTTTTCCGAAGGGGAGATGGGAATGGGGAAAGGCCGATTTGGGGTTATCCCAAGCATGATCGGACAGAAAAATAGCCCACAATTCCCGGGGGGCTTGATCCGTGATTCCCTCCATGCCCCGGGCGCACCTCCAGAATGGTTGGCCCTGCAGCTTCCTGCGATCTCACCTTTGGCTTGTGCTGGCTGGGGCTGACGGGGATGCCTTGCCCACCCCCTGCTTTCCCCCGGCTCGCCTCCCATCAGCCCCAGCTTGGTTGCCTATCCAGGCGAGGGAAACCCCTGACTTTTTGCCAGGACAGGATCCCTCCAGGTGGGCAAGTGATAGGAATTCACCCCAGTTAGCTTTCAGCAGTAGACGTGCTGATAGATACATAAATATTTTTTGGACCCTCCTTCTTGTACAACTAAAATAATGATGAAGAGGGCAATTTGGTTTCCAAAGCAGACGGAAAATCACAGAGGACTCGTTTATTCAAAGCCATATTGTTTTCTTTAATTGTAAGTTTAAAAAAAATCTAATGTATTAAAATATATTACTTTATTTTAAGGGTGTCAATAAAGCAATATGCATATAAGCTTCTACATTCTTATTTATTTCGTTTCTATGCCTCCCCAAAGCTGAAGATACTATAACAATTTAAAATATAAAACACAGTATAAAACTGCGGCATGAAACAGAGGCAAAAATCAAAGTAAAATCTAGCAACAGTTCAAAGATTTAAAACACATAAAAAGAATTTAAACAGAAGTGGATTCTGGAATGTGTCTTTTATACCATATTTATTCATCTGATTTGTATCCTGTCCTTCCCAGGATAAATGCTCAGGACAGCACAAAGAGCTTTGTGTTGGTCTATCTTGTTATTCTCACAATCACCCTATGAGGTTTGTCTATATGTTTTTGCCATTCATGTCCAATACAACACAACACTGTTTCATGAACTTTTGCATTTTGGGTCAGTAAAATGTTTTGTGCTAAAACCACACAGCCATTCTGGTTTACCAGAATTCCGTCTTCATGGGTTGTTAAAAAGAAAAACACCTTTCCCCTGCAATTTGGATCTAACCAGTGTTCACATGCAGGAGGTTCACTTTTGAGCAACACATATGTGTTTCACAAATTTTAAACTACTCCATTAAAATTGAAACTCCTTCTGCCCTCCTGGACCTTTTATGTTATTATGATCTCAGCATTATCTTTGCAATATCATTGCTCACCCTGCATGTTTACAGAGATTTTATTATTTTTAATATTACAAAAATCATTACAAATATAATTATAGTTTAACATGCAGTTCTGGAATTTAGCAAACCTGAATAAAAGACCTTGCTTTATACCTGAGGGATACGGAAAAACAACAAAAATAAACAAAGAAGTTCTTCAGAGCTGTCTGCCCTTCCTACACACATTAATAGAAGTGACGTTATTGTTGTTCCGAAGTCCCAGAGAAACCTTCAGCAACTTCTCAGATCCAGTGGCGGACTAATTATCTTCTCTTCTGTGATAATGAGGAGAAAAAACAAACTCTTGCAGCTTGGTGCCTGGAGATTTCGCATTCTGTGTTCTAATTATGAAGTTGTAAACCTGCATGCTTATATTTATTAATAGTATTTATATTTACTGATAATATATAACCGTATTTAAGAGCATGATGAAATTTAATGATCAGACTGAATGCAAATTGTTTTTGAGGGCTTTCAACATTTTAAACAACAAAAATTGAGAGAAAAAGAAAAAAAATGAGAACCAGTGTGGTGTTGGACTGGGACCATGGGGAACTTTGGATGGGTGACTCTGGGCCAGTCACTTGTTCCAAGACTATCCTACCTCACAGGGCTGTTGTTGTGAGGATAAAATGAAGCTATCTAAGTCACTGTAGCTTTTCTTCATGAGACGGAAAAAGGCAGGCTATAAATGAAATCCAGTAATTAAAACATGTAAATTTAAAATCACATTTCTATTTTAATTACTTGTTTCACTCTCCCCACCCCAGTTCATATAGTTATTTTTAAAGTCAGACTGTGGTGTGGAAAATATTGCTGAACTGAATTTTTTAAGAAGACGTTCTTTGTGGGAAAGATTTCTGGGAGGGTATGTTTTGTTTTTAATCTGCTCCTCCAAGAGGAAGGCTACTTTGCAGAATGTTCTCCAAATATTCTTCACCAATCATTCAAATACTGAATTATTTTTGGTGAGAAATGTTATTCCCATCTCTGACCCTCCATGATTCCTCAAAATTTGCACTGGCAGCAAACCGCACCTGCTACCAGCTCCTAGGAAGAACACTGGAGACACTGCCGGATGGTGATCCCAGTCCACGAGAAACTGTTGGAAATGTTCCTTCTCATAGAAACAGAGTACCATTCTCCACAGCTCCCCATCAGCCAATTTCTCTGGCCACAGCTAGACTGGAGAATTTCAAGAGGCTATTTGGTGCCAGCCTGGTGAGAAAGGATCTCCATCCACAGGTGCGGTGCTAAGGACCAGAAAGATCTAGGACTGAGACCCAGAATAATGCACACGGTTGCACATGCTCATTTACATATGCAAATGAGCTCTAAACTCTCTCAATGTGTGTGTGTCTAAAGGGCTCTGTCTCGTAAGGGCAGCTCTGTTTACAGAAATTGATCAATGAACAGGGAAGAGTGAAGCATATGTCCTTAAGAATGTCTATGGGGTCCTTCCCTGAGAACCACCCCTAAAAAGCAAGAGGGACATGGTTAGAAGCAGGGCCTTCTCCATGCTGGCTCCCCACCTTTGCCACACATTCCCCAAGGAGGAGCACCTGGAGCAGTCATTGCTTGCTTTCAGGTGCCAGGTAAAGCCCTTTTTATTTACTAGACATTTTAATAGAGCGATACATTCTATATTGTTTTTATGTGAACTCTTTTGCTAGTGTATCTCTTCCCATCAGTTGTCAGTGTTCCATATTTGGTTTTAACTGCTTCTATTATCTGCTCTGTTTTTATTCGCACCGTATATTTTTCTTATTCTGTAAACTGCCCAGAGAGCCCCATGGGCAGTATAAAAATATAACACATAAATAAATAAAGTAATATTTGATTTGATTTCAGGAAAAAGCCTCAGGCAGAAGGATTGAAAGCGTGTGGGAGGCAACAGCGAATACAACACATGTGGGCAAAAAACCAGCTAATAAAGGGACACTGGATGCAGCCAGGAGCCCGGGGCATCTGGGCCATGAAGCAGAGGGACCCTGACAGATTCAGGACTCCAAATGAAAGACTTGACTCTCCAAATTGAAGATATGGAGATGCAGCCCTGCTGGACCACTTTTATCACCATTTCTGGCCTTTCATCTATGCGGCAAAGGTATGCGCAACCTTCCTCTGTACTGAAAAGCATCCCAAGTAGTTTGCTTATCCTAAAAGTGGTGTCTTCCACAGTGTCAGAAAAAAGGTACTCATCACGGAGACATTCTCTCAAAGATATCCTTCAAATGGCCACCACTGATTTCCAAATTCCAGCCAAAATAACTTCCCCTTTTCTGAATTTTTTAAAAATATCTGATCCTGGTTCCTTGATCCCTGGGCAACTAACTCCACTAGCGGTGCTGAAATCTACATGAAAATATTTCCACTGCAAAAAGGCCATTTCATTACTGCCTGTTCCTAGGTATTTGGCTTCTTGTCCTGTTGCTTTGGCATAACATTAGTGAGTCAACGTGTTCCTCTCTCATAATGTCATTCCCATCAGTTGGGAATCCAGTTATGGCAGTGATGGAGCCACAAGAGGCAGCCTTACCTTCCTTTCATGTTGGCTCTGAGATATTGCCATCGATCCCTAACCTCATCACAGCTCAGGTTTGGCTGTGACAATGTCACAAAGTTGATTCAGAGGGAGGGCGATGCATCCCATCCTTTGTACCAGTTTGAAAACTTCTGGTATGCGATCCTGATTCTGTACGGTTGCACACTGCTAGCAGTGCCCGTTGGAGGTCATTGGCCCAACAAATACCTGGGGATGCTTTCTAGTCCTTTCTAGTTCTAGTTCTAGTCCTCTAGCAACAAAATGACTTGGGCCAGCCCTGCCTGGGTGTAAAGTCCCACACAGGCTCAATCAGGCATATTTCTGCATAGGCATGTCAGTCTTCAAGGTGCTACCATGTTGCTTTTCCAAGACTTCTAGTCGGAGAAGGTTCTGTAAAGGGATTCTAGGGCCGGGAGAGGAGGATCAGGGCTCCAGTGGAATATGAGAAATCCTAATAAGTATCAGCAAAAGCCACAGGTGGATCACCGAGTTTGGATCGAGTTTGGATTGTTATGGGCCACCACACAGATTTGCTTGCTAATCCACCTAACTGCACCCTAACTGCATCATTTTAAAGATTAAGCAATGCATTCCAGGTAATATGTCAAAACTGAGATGCATCACTTGGACAAATTAAAGTGGGTCTTCCACATGCAAGTAATTCACATGTTGGAGGAAGGAAAAATTGGATGTTTCCCTTAAGACAGTAATCCTATACTTACTTACCTGGAAGAAGATCCCATGGATCAATGGGCTTTTAGGAATGCTTGGTTAAGGATACAAAGTACCAAAGAAGA